TCTCCCACAGCTGTGTTGTTGTTGTTGTTGTTGTTGTTGTTGTTGTTGTTTAGTCGTGTCCGACTCTTTGTGACCCCATGGACCAGAGCACGCCAGGCACTCCTGTCTTCCACTGCCTCCCACCATTTGGTCAAACTCATGCTGGTAGCTTCGAGAACACTGTCCAACCGTCTTGTCCTCTGTCGTCCCCTTCTCCTTGTGCCCTCCATCTTTCCCAACATCAGGGTCTTTTCCAGGGAGTCTTCTCTTCTCATGAGGTAGCCAAAGTATTGGAGCCTCAGCTTCAGGATCTGTCCTTCCAGTGAGCACTCAGGGCTGATTTCCTTCAGAATGGATAGGCTTGATCTTCTTGCAGTCCATGGGACTCTCAAGAGTCTCCTCCAGCACCATAATTCAAAAGCATCAATTCTTCAGCGATCAGCCTTCTTTATGGTCCAGCTCTCACTTCCATACAGCATTCAAACAGAAATGAACCGTCACTCTGACTCCCTCCCTCTCTCTCTCTCTCTCTCTCTCTCTCTCTCTCTCTCTCTCCAGCTTGCTGCTTTTCCTCTAGCTCACATCACTGCAAACTCTGCTCTCAACCCTGGCTATGTCTGTTGAGGGAGAGGGCACCACTCATTTGCCACCTACCATGAAGCCCTTTAATCCCTCGTCTTGACTATTTCCAGGAATTAGAAGGCTTGATTCACTTTTAACACTTGCTAGATCCAGGGATTAGAAAGGTCTGGCATACAGTTTAACATAACCCACAAGGCTTCCTCCTACCTTTCCCCCTTTCCCTCCTCATTCTCTCTTCTCTGTCTCTCTTCCGCTTGTTAAAAAATAAATAAATGTTTAATTGGACAACTGGGGGCCATCCGCCTTAGTTCAGGGATAATCCAATCTATGTCCCGGCCTGCCAAGCCTGTCACTGGAGTGAGAGTTGTTTTCAAACTTCCTGCTCTCCAGAAACTCCATCCACATTAATTTGTCCACCAAAGAGCCTTGACTTGCCACAGATGATTCTGAGCCAGACTTATTTAGGCATCTATTCATTTTACAAAAGGCTTTCCCCAAAGCTCAGAGCGAAGAACAAAACATTAAAAACCAATAAAACCCCAATATAAAACAAGATAATCAATGAACAGAACAACTACAGTGAGGTAATACCTTAGTCTCAGAATCATAACAGACTCAAGCCAGAGCTTTATGGGAAAAGAAAAAGCTTTATGTGGTGAACTTTGTAGAGCAGGGATGGAGAACACTTTTCAGCTCAAGGGCCACATTCCTTGTGGGAAACCTGTTCAGGAGGCCACATACCAGCGGTGAGCAAAGCCAGAGGCAAAAGTGGACTGGGTAAGGAATATAAGTTTCACCTTTCGACAGTAGTTTGGTTTCTACACACACTCCCACACCCTTCTCTGTCCTCCGTCCAGGAAAGCAATTATTGTTTTCAGAGCTCAGGGATACAGTCCAGCCAGGCAAAAACACTCATGCGGAGGGGTGCAAAGCAGGGCTGATGAGGGATGCACCATTGAGAGAGTCCTGGGGGCCAGATAAGAGAGGACTGGAGAGCACATTCTGCTCCTAGGCTTGAAGTCTCCCACCTATACTGTATAGGGTTGTGTGAACAGAAGAGCCCAGGTTTAATTCCCGGAATCTCAAGATAGGACAGGGAGAAAGCTCTGGCTGGAACTCTGGAGAGCTGCTGCCAATCAGTGTAGACACTGCTGAGCTAGATGGACCAGTAGTCTCAGACAGTATAAGGCTCCTGTGTTGTTCCGGAGGACCAGCTGGAGAGGTCCCTTTTCTAGGGTGTGGAGGCAGAGGATAGACATTGTGCTCCTCACAAGCTGAGGGTGTCTTGAAACACAGCTGGGTCTCTTGAAGCACAGAACTCCTCAGAAGCACCTGAGGCATCCCAGCACTTCCCAGAATACAGTCTATAAACTATTGGATTTAGCGCATGAGGGGAGTGGAAAGAAAACGTTTCCATGGAGTAGCCTGCCTTTTGTTTTTTGATCACAGCCAGCCCAGCCCATGAAGTTAAGCTTCCATCCATCTTGAAGAGGTTGGGGAGCTAATAAACATATCTATCAAGTCTTTTGCCGGGTCTGCCGGAATTTCAGGTTTCTCGATAGTGGAGAGAGGCAGAGTGGAATTTGCCGTAGCTGAGAGCGGCAGCACAATAATAACACAGTAATAAATACGCTGTCACTCCAGCAGCGAAAGCCAAAGCTTCCAGGCCTATAAACCGTCTGGCGGTAGGAGGAGGCAGCGGTGGGAGATCAGAAGAATGATGGGGGAAGGAGGAGGAAGGAGCTGCAGGAGATCTGGGTAGCACTTAGAAGCCTGCAGCAGGGGGATGGTCTGGGAGAACGGCAAGCGGAGACAACAGGGAGCAAGAGCAAACCTTGGAAGAGTGCAGATTCTGTACTCAGATCAGGCACTGCATGCTTTTTTATTTTTAAAATCACACTGGTTTTTGGATAACAAGGTTACGGTGTTGTGTTGTTTTTTTCATCCCACGATTTCCATAACTAGATGAGGCACTCATATTCTCAGTGGGTCTCCATGGGATTATGGTCCTTAAAATTCACAGTTGCCCCCATGTGGCACACAAATGGCTCCTCTTATCCCTAATGGATGCGGAAGAGAAAGGAGAGGGGGAACTACATCCCACCGGCTGCAAATTACTGTGTAGCTACATTGCCGATCTGTGTGTATGTGTGTGAGCTACACTGGAGACTGGGAACCGGGGGGTCCCCAAGCCAAATCTGTTTTCTCGAGATAGTGTACCCTGAAAATCACAAAAAGAGGGGTCTGAAAAGAATAGTGACAACGGGTCTTTTCAGAAGACCAGTTTGGGAGGTCATTGGTGAAGACTCAGCCCTCTATCCCTGGCTCTGTTCACACAGTGTTCCTTGAAGAAATCTAGTTCTTGACTAGATAATTAATGTATGGCTAGAACAGTTTCCCCCAACCTGGTGCCCTCTAGATGTTGCTGTTCAACAATTCCCATCATCCCTAATAGAAATTTAGGGGGTGCTAGTTTCTTGTAGCCAAAAACAACAAAGAGGTTTGTGGTACCTTAAAGGCTAAGGAAATTATGATGGCATCCCTGGCCACTAGTCATGCAAACATTAGGATGTAGTCTAACAGCATTGAGAAGAGGCCTTTTCAGTGGTGGTCCCTCATGTGTGGAATGCTCCCCCCAGACAGACATGCCTAGCACCATCCTTGTTAGTCTTTAGGCACCAGACTAAGACCATTTTGTCCCCTCAGGTAGCTGGTAAATAAGTTCCCTCCTACAGTAGTAAAGGTAAAGGGACCACTGACTGTTAGGTCCAGTTGCGGACGACTCTGGGGTTGCGGCGCTCATCTCGCTTTATTGGCCGAGGGAGCCGGCGTACAGCTTCCGGGTCATGTGGCCAGCATGACTAAGCCGCTTCTGGTGAACCAGAGCAGCGCATGGAAACACAATTTACCTTCCCGCCAGAGCGGTACCTATTTATCTACTTGCACTTTGACATGGCAGGAGCTGGGACCAAGCAACGGGAGCTCACCCCATCGTGGGGATTTGAACCGCCGACATTCCGATCGGCAAGCCCTAAGCTCTGTGGTTTAGATCACAGTGTACAGCTTGTCCTTATTAATCTGTTATTGAGCAAGCATTCTATGTATTTTGCATTGCTTATTGTTTTACATTTTCCCAGTTTTAAATTGTGTTTGTTGTATCTTATCTTTGAGACTTTTTTCCTTCTATAAAGCAACTGACAAATGTAATAAACAACAGCAGCAACTGAAGGGAAGATTTAAGAATCAAATTCCTGTGGCTGTTTTATTCAAACTGGCACTATCCATCTGGCACTGCTGTTGGATGTAGCGGCTTTTTCAGGCTTGCACAATTATTTACAATATTAACGGTAATATTACAGAGCCAGTGTGGTATAGCAGTTATAGCGTCTTGGACTAGCACCTGGGATACCAAGTTTCAACTCCCCACTGGGCCTTGACACTTGCTGGGTGATCTTGGAACCACTCATTGCTTCTCGGCCTAACCTACCTCACAAGGCTGTTGTGAGGATGAAATGGGGGGGGCATGTAAAGCTACCTTGAGCTCCTTGGTCAAAAAGGTGGGATATAAATACAATGATAAATATTTGATTATTGCCCTCCCCCAGCTGTTTACCTTTTTCTATGCTCCCCTTCCCTTCCCTCCTTGATTGACCCATTCCAATGACTTGGGCTTCTAAGGTACTTCACATTTTTGACAGGATGAATAATTGAAATAATTATGTGTACAAGGTAATTTTTTTCTTTCCTGTTTTCCTGTTCCGGTGGAGGCCATTTCCACTAATCTGTGCAAAGCCTGGCTGACAACTTGAGAAAGGAGAGAGAGGGACCTAAACATTGCAACAGTTGAAATCTATTCATTTTTTAGGTGGATTTTAAAAAAAAAGCAGAAAAGGGAAGAGAAAACAAAACATGGGGAAATAAATATATATAATTTCCCCACAAATAAATACACAAGAGCCCCGTGGCATTCATTTAACCTTCAGCGTGACTGAAAATTCCACTAGCAGGTGAACAGAATTATTGATGTTTGAAGTAATTACTTCAGGAGGCACTGCTATCAAAATTCATAGTGATTGATTTCCCACTAGTCAGCTTATCTCTTCCAGAACAAGTGTGCTGGAAAGCAGCTTGTAACCCCTTCCTAATAAGCCGTGGCACATTATTGAACAAAATGGCTTTGGGCTCTGTCTCTATTTGGTTTTATTTTGCATTTACTGCCCCTGAAAGAAGCTGGGTTGCTTAGAATGCTTAAACTGAATCTGCTCCTTTCTCTCTAGCTCTTTCCAAGACCATTTCAAGATAGTTACAAGATGTTTAGCTCTTGCATAGTCTGACTTATGCCAAGTCAGACTTATTTGAATTGCCTATTTTGACTGGCAGTGGCATTCTGGGGTGTCAAATAGAGATTTCTCCCCAGCACCTACATCATCGTTTTTTATTGGAGATACCAGGGATTGAACCAAGAACCTTCTGTGTGCAAAGCATATGCTCTACCACTGAGCTAAGAGTCCCCATCTGCCCAGGCTACGGGGGAGGGGGGGTGGAATTCTAGAGAGTGGTGGGAAAGGTCTGGGAAGATCTGACCTCAGACAGAGAGCAATCAGTAGAAGGGATGTGTTGGCAAGGAGCAGGCAGCAGGTGTTTGATAACAAGTAGGTAAACTACCAGGCAGCTGTTCGGAATCTGGAGATTCAGGACCTTGGAGAGGTCCCAGAGACATGGATGTTGCTCCATCCAGCTCCAAAACCCAATGGAATCCTTATTATAACCCCAAGCAGGGTCTGATGACTGCCTGACCCTTATTTTCAAGTGGAGGCTGTGCATGCAAGGAATGCTTGGAACCATGCACTGCTGAATGGCCTCTTTCTGCCTTTTTCAACAGGGATTCATGGGAGGGTAAAAAGCCTTGGGTGGCAAGTGGGCCTATTCAGATACTTTATCTGGAACTTATCACCTCCTAAAATATATTTGGTTGGATCCAGGGTTGTGTCTCAGCTCTGGAACTTCCTCCTGGTGAAAGGCATCTTGCCTCCTTTTTAATATCCTGCCATAAGTTGGTAAACACATTCATTTTTAAGAAGGCTTTTAGTTTGTTGATGACTCTCTTGTTGTATTGGTTTGAATCTGCTGGTGTTGCTTTGCTGTTCTTCTTTATTGGTTTTATGTGTTTTCAGAATAGATATTATGCATTGTTAAATGGTGCAATTTTGTGGTTGGCCACCTTGAGATATTTACGAGGAAACATAAGGCATAAATGTTTCAAATAAATAAATGGATGAACAAGGCGTGAGCAACCAGGCCTGGGTTAATTGTGCAACTCCATCTTTCCAGAGAGTTCAGCAATAATTCCTCCTCTTCCTCACTTGTGACTATGGATTGTATCCAACCCAGAGCAGGCTCATTAATGGGTGTGGCTAATTTTGGTCCAATAATTTCAATGAGTCTCCTATGAACAGGACTAGGACTGCATACAGCCCTTTGTTTCTGGCAGGTTCATGTTCAGACCATCCTGCCTGGACAGAGAATCCTACCTTAAGGTCATCATTGGCTGAATAAGTGGGAACTGCAATGAAGTGTTGCAGCATGGGGCAATTCTGCTCATGTGTTCATCCACCCCATTCAATGTGATCTGTTTTCATATGTGTGTGCACTTTCTCCCTCCTATCCCCCACCACTGCAACTTCCAGGATCCCTCAAACGTGCTGATACCTCCCTTTTGTTCATGGGGCCATTTTGGACCAACATGCAGAAAACTAATGATACTATTAGATGAGTTTATTCAATACAATTGGGCCCCTTTCCCAGATACAATTGTGTAACCTGTGCTCTGTCCCTGAAGGTAACCTAAACAATGTAGCATGGGCAAATCTGTAAGGGGAGTAGTTGGTGTGAGTGTGTCAATTGACTGATTCTGTGGCAATGCCTTGGCTTAGGACAACAATTTGTGTAGGACTACGCTGAAATGCCTTGGGCTGTAGAGTTTTTGTGGTGTAGAAAAGCTATCTTTTTGATCAGTGAAAAAGCTACATTTGAATCTCCCCAGCCATGAATGTTACATTTTTATAAATCTGGGTCTCCGCTTTTTATTGATAAAGTCGAGTTTGCTGATTGCTTTTTATGGCAAGGTGCTCTAGATTCAATTTATTGATCTCATTGTTGCTGCAGGCTATGCACACAGCTATAACCAAATCCCCAATGTCTTGTGTCCAGCCTATTGGGGTAGACAATATTGCTTGTTCCAAATTCTAAGCAAGATGAGCCAGGCCATTAGAGTTAACTAAAGCAGTGAAGGATAGTGATGCTGGGCTGGGAATACATTTTAGCACTTTTCATGCTCCAGGAAGCCCAAGGTACCTAAGACAGCAATGAGCCTGTGTCACATAGCATTTCAGGGACTCTGCAGCCAAATGCACATTTACTGCTTGCCTTCCTGATAGGAGGTCTTCAGGTAACAGACCCTGGTTTACTGATTCAGGCTGCCACGCAATGCTGTTCCGAGACAGCAGGGATATTGCAGCCTCGTATAATCTTGCAAGGAGCCCTGGAGAGAGTCAAAGGCAGAGAAAGGGAATCTGTAGCTAGCTTGGCTAGGTGGCATCATTGCTCAGAAGGACAAAGAATCCCAAAGCCTTCTAGAGGGCTAAGGGAGTATCAGCTGATCTACTTTAGCCTATTGATGCAAAGAGGCTTCAGGGCTAGTGTGTTTGGCATCATTGCAGTTCCAACCTTGGGGAGTGGTCTTCAGGAGGGCTACATGCCCCCCCCCCGCTGTAAATAGAAAGCTGGGTGTTAATTTTCTGCTTGCAGGAAAAAAAAATTAAACAAAATGTGGGAATGCTTTAAAAAAATTTTTAAAAATCGGGTTTCTACCACCCGATTTCCTCCTCATTTTATTGCCAAGAGAGGCCCAGTCTGAGTGCAGAGAAAGCAGTTGGTGTGAATACAGTATGTGAATTAGCCCTAAGATACTCAGGAAGGTCGTGGTGTCAGATTACCGTATTTTTTGCACCATAACACTCACTTTTTTCCTCCTAGAAAGTAAGCGGAAATGTCTGTGCGTGTTATGGAGGGAATGCCTACGGATGGCGGGGGGGATCTGCTGCAGTCATGAGCAGAGGATCCATGGTTCCCCTTCCTTCCCTCCTCCGTGGCTCGCTTTGAAACAGCAAAGCAGGAGAAGAGCCGCTGAGTGGGGAGGAGAGAGGGACAGAGAGCCTGCTTCTTTAAAGGAACCAACTGGACAGGAGCCGCTTACACTCGTGTAAGCGGCTCCTGTCCGGTTGGTTCCTTTACAGCAAGCAGGCTCTCTGTCCCTCTCTCCTCCCCACTCAGCTCGCTACATAGCAGCAAAGTTTTTCAGCTAGCTAAGCCGGGGATGAGCGGGGAGGAGGGAGAAAAGCAGAGCCTGCTTGCTTTAAAGGAGCAAAGTGGGAGAGGAGAGGAGCCTTCTCCCCTTATACCCCTCTTCTTCATTATTAGCAGCATCCTTCTCCACCCACCCCACGCGTGTTCCTTGTCCCTTGAGTGCTTTTCCTTCATGGAAACATGGTTACAAAGCACGGATCCACATGGATCCTCAGGATTTTTGCACTGAGTCACCCCAAATTCACCATCAAATCACATAGCATGTCCATGGCTACATCTTGCACCAAAAAAATCACGCACCCACTGTTGCCTGGGGCTGCAGTGGTGCAAAAACGTGGTTACAAAGCATGGATCCTCAGGATTTTTGCATTGGGCTACCCCAAACTCACCGTCAAATCACATGTCTGTGGCCACAGCATGAACCACAAAAATCATACATCCACTGTTTCGTTTAGAATATTTTTTTTCTTGTTTTCCTCCTCTAAAAACTATGTGCATGTTATGGTCGGGTGCGTGTTATAGAGCAAAAAATACGGTATTTGTCTCCTGAGACAGACAGGTGGATGCCAACAGCAAATTTGTTAAACAACTGGCTTCTGTGATTCGAGGAGCAATCATGGCCAAGCATCCAACCTCAAGTCACAAGGAAACTGGTGTGTATCTTTTCCACATTGGGGCTTGATGGAAGGTGCTCAGTACCATAAGGTTCCATAGCCTGAACCAGAATAATACCACACTTTATACGATGGTGGCGAATAAACAAGAGGTTACATTCTTCTGCAGTTACAGTTTTGGCCCCAAGTGGTTAATATCAACCTAGAGCTGATGTGGGGAACTTGTGCCCCTCCAGAGTTTGTTGGACCACAACTCCCATCAGCCCTGACTTTGGCCATGCTGGGTGGGGCTGATGGGAGTTGTAGTCACCCCATTTCCTGGGCCTCCTGATCCCAAGCTAACTCTTTTATTTATTGGCTCCAGGAGTCCCATCCCACTACCTTTCCTTTCACCTCCATGAAACCTCCACACACCACCTCCATCTCTACTGCCTGGGGCCACACCCACCAGGGCTCATGGTCTCTTCTCTTCCTTCTCACCAGTTCCTCTGCAGGGAACTGCACAGCTCCCATGGCTTCACAGTCTTGCATTACTGACACCTGCAAAGGGGTTTGAGAGGATGGTGGTCTTGGTCGGAATCCCCAGCAATTTGTCTCTGCTGCAAAGAAGGAGCAGCATCTGAAAGCGCCTTTCTCCCCATTTGCTTCTCTTGTGTGGAGAGAGAGAAAGAGTGCACCAGAGTGCTCTCTTGTGTTCAGGAAACCGTGTTTTTCACCCTGCCATCTGCCATGAGTGGGGGAAGCAAATTATGCTGTTTAGCAGGAAGTGAACAGATAATTTGCTTGAAATGGTTTAGCAAAAAGAGGCCATGAAATCTGCTGAATGAGAGCATTTAACATGGCAGAAGGAGAGAGCTTACATTTGAAAGCGCCAGCTATGAAGGCTTCACTCGGGTGCCTGTTCATCGACCAAAGAGGATGGCAGAGAGTTCAGGTGACCACTCTGTCCTTGAGGATAACCTAAACAATATAGCATGGGCAAATCATGGTTGGAAATAGTGGCCAGCTAAGAAAGGCCGCTGTGATGGTTAGATTAAGATGCCCCAGTGCAGCTAGCCTACATAGTCTTTCCCTCCACATTTCACTAGTCTCAACAGGAGGGACAAATTAGATTTAGGAATACAGGAAGCTGACTTCTCCCAGGTCAGGCTGTTTGTCTAGTCGAGTACTGTGTACTCAAAGAAGAGCCTGTTAAATTAGGCCAGTGATGTCCAAAAATTTTTCAAAGAGGGCCAGATTTGATGAAGTGAAGGGCCATGAGTGCTGACCAAAGGGCCAACCAAAGGGCCAACCAAAGTTGTTGACCATTCTTTTAGGACTGAAGTTGCTGAGCTTTTTTGTGATTTTACCCCCAAGGTTGTTGAGGTTTTTTAAAGATTTTACCCCAAGAAATAAACTGCCACAGGGGCCAGATTAAACCGACCAGTGGGCCGGATTAGGCCCCTGAAATGGACTTTGGACATGCCTGAATTAGGCCTTTCTAAATTTACACACACACACACACACACACACACACACACACACACAGCTTGCCTGTACCTTAAGTGGCCCATGGTACATCATTATGTAGCATCGTTCCCCAGGGCATTCATTAAGATGCCCCAGTTCACATATAACACCTAGCTATGGTTTGCTCCAGCCATGTTGTTTTTTAACAAACCATGAGTTAACCACAAATTGTCCCACAGATTATCAAACCATTGCTTGTTTCTCCACAGTCATTTCCATTTCCCAGCTGCCCATGCCTTTGTAGTTTTTGGAGTGCCTGGGGTGGTGTGGTCAAGCAAACCATGGTTAAAGAAAGGTGCTGGGCTCATACATAATGCCACAACCACAATTAAGCGTCTGAGCAGGGTTCACAGATAAAAAGCCATGGTTTAGTGTCATGTGCAAATTAGGCTGATGGCTACCTGCTTTGACATTGTTCCAAATGGGCATTCTGTCCCAAGGGGCAAATTTTCTTTTCAAACCAGAGAAAAAGAAGAAGCACTACATGAGATCATATTTAAAAGGAAGACTACTAGCACTGAAAAGCTCTTTAAATTTTCTGCTGCCCCATGAAAGCTTCTGAATACCACCTCTCCACGTTCACAGGGGATGAAGGGCCCTGAGAAAGTGGATGAGGGGACAGGGATATTTGGTACAGCTTTAGAAGAAAGCACCTTAGGAACAATGAATTCAGAAGAAGGTCCTTCAGTTTATTCCTGCTCATCATCCACCACACAGGACTGTCCATGCCATCTGTTTAGATTACAGGTCTCTGAGTTGGATCTCCCACTAATTTATGCATGCTTGGAAGCATCACCACAGAACTCAGACTGGAAAGCTCCCCTTTGAGCTAAGCAGCTTCCCTCGGTCGGTAATTGTTTCTGACATTTCACCTGTCACATTGTGGTCTCCTTCCAAGGCAGGGGGCAGTGAAATGTTTGGAGCCCTGAATGTGAGGTTGGCACACAGTTCTCTGTTGACATGAGATTAAATATGTCAGGACTTCAGAGGAACAAGCAAGAATGAAAGAAGGAGAAAGAGAGAAAGGGGAGAAAGGGGATTAAAAGGGGAGAAATGAACAAAAATGGAATTTGCCCAAAGATAGGTGGACACATGACTAGTAAACCTGATGAATTGACAAGTTGTGTTGGAAAGACTTCCTAATGATGGTTCTGGCAGCAAGGCCAAGCTAAGCTAGTTCTTAGCGGCATGTAATGGCTCCTTGGTTTAGCAAAGATTAATGTTCCTTGAGATCTGGGAATGAGCTGCAGTGAAGACTGATCTGAAGAGATTTCTCTGTGTGGTTGAGAACCCTTGCTTCACTTCCTTCCTGGTCTGGGCCTGCCATTTATATATGTCCACAGTTAAAATAGTCTGAGAGCCAAGCAATGGTTGCAAATGCGTTGCTCAGTGTGTCACTGCTGGAAGTGTGCAGGCAAGCAGGGCCAGGCCCTGCAAGGTGGTCAGGTTGGGTAATGTGCAGGAAGCTGGAAATACAGGCAGGCTATTGAGCCAATAAGGTGAGGATGGGCAGGCCAAAAGCAGTTCGAGTTCAAGCCCTGATGACAAGTTATGTGGACTGAGAAGCCAGGCCCATGTCACAAACTTTATTATACCGGATGAAACCCTATGGGCTCCTTCTTTTACCAGAGACCTATGCTCTTAGGCAGGCATAGGCAAACTCGGCCCTCCAGATGTTTTGGGACTACAGTTCCCATCATCCCTGACCACTGGTCCTGTTAGCTAGGGATCATGGGAATTGTAGTCCCAAAACATCTGGAGGGCCGAGTTTGCCTATGTCTGCTCTTAGGGCTGGCCCTACCATTAGGCAGAGTGAGGGGACTGCCCCAGGCAGCAGATGTTAGACGATTTAATAATTAATCCCTCTTCCCAGAAAACTCTGGGAATTGTCTCTCTGTGTGGAGAAGAGAGGCCTCCTAAAAACTCTCATTGCCCTTAACAAACTACAGTTCCCAGAATCCTTTGGGGGAAAGTCACAAGTGTTTAAAATGGTATCATCATATTTTAAATATATGGAATGAATGTAGCCTAAGTCAATGTGGCAAAAACTGGGGTGACAAGACTTATGCTACCCTTTGGCTAATTATAGCCTTTTAAACTGTTTTTATTTGTTACTATCTTATGTATTTTTGGGGTTTTATGTTGTAAATTCCCCTGTGATGAAGGGCTGTATAGAAGTTTAGTAAACTAATAAATAATACCCACAGACTCGCTAGTCTGAATTCAAGCCGCTGCTTCATCACGTTAATTATTTCAGTCATAATTAATAGCACACCCTCTTTTCCGAGAGATGCCTTAGGCACACAGAGAGACTGCCTGAAGCGGTTAAGAAAATAGCCCCAAACGAAGGTAAAACCTTTTGACACGGAGATGCAAAGCCTTCTGAAGAGGCACAGTGCAGTCATGTGAGGCCCCTGCCCCCCAACTGCATTGTAGATTGCACTGCATGAACCTGATAGAGTGCCTTAGGTTAAAAGGCTTTTTGCAGCGTGTTCGCAGGGTGGAATGGGGAAAGCTGTTCCGTTAAGTGGCTTCACAGGGCACCCTCAGGCGAAACCACCAACTGTCTACTTCTCCTCAAGGTAAGGTGGGACGCCTGGATCTCCAGTGCTGCTCATTAGGGCAGAATTCACCATTGTATGTTAAATAAGCTACCCCCAAGGTTGCACTCATGCCAGCTGTTAAAATCCAGAGGAAACTCTGGGAAACCTTGCATAGTTATTAAGGTCAGAACAGCTTGGAGGTGATTTTTTTTTTTTTTTAACATTCCTGAAGGAAACCCGATTTGCCAGTTAGGAAACTAGGAAACCCATCTAGCTCATATTGTCTGCAGAAGTGGTTTTCCGCCAGGGTGCCGTGGC